TTCTGCTGCTCCTCACACACTCCCTACTCTTCCTGCTTTCGGCCACCCACGTTGTGTCAGGATCACCTGCAGATGAAATCTGTGTGTCCGCACATCGGTGGTCACCACCACACACGAGGACATCCACACTGTCCACACGAGGCCACTCCCCAGCTGGACAGTCTCTGGGCAGCTCCTGGCACCTCCTGCTCTCCCTTGGGGCCCTGCCGTGGGTCTCTGGGTGTCTCTTGGCCTTTCACTCACTGAGCCCTCAAACTCCACTTCACAGCCTTGGACAGGTGCAAACCCCTTTCCCACAGGGACCTCTGCTGCGCTCCCTCTGCCAGTCATGAGGACTTAGGCGGGTCAGCCGGCTGTGGGGCAGGCTCCACTGCAGCCCTTCCCTGCCCCTTTCAGGGCCAGCTGTGTTGGAGACAGTCCCTCTGGACTGATGACAGTCCAGTTCAAGGACTCATGTTTGGTCCAGCAGTTAGCACGCCAGCTAGAACAGCGGCGTCCTAACATAGGATGGCCTGGGATCGAGTCCTGCCTGCAGTTCTCCATGCCAGCTGCCTGCTCATCTCATGCATGCCCCAAGAGGCAGCAGGTGATGGCTTTGGTGCCCGGATGGAGTTCCAGACTCCTGGCTTCAGCCTGGCCCCGCCCCTGTGTTGTGAGCACTTGGGGAATTAGATACTAACAGGCCATCTCCCTCTGTCTCCAAAACTAAAAATAATCTAAGAAAATTTTACCCTGTAATCCACCCCACCACACATACACAAGTTCACTACAATTCTGTTTCAAACTCTGGGTGGCCAGTCTGGCTCTTCTAGCTTTCCTTCACCTGCCCCTTGGCCAGAATGGAGATGCTGGCTGCCTGGGCAGGGGGTGAGATTGGCACAGGGGAGTGGGTGAAGGGGGCAGGAAGGGGTGGTGGAGCTGGAGGGAGTGGCGGCTCGAATCACGTGCAGGGTCCGAGCAACGCCCACCCTCTTCCCTGGCCTGACTGTGCTGGGTTGGTTCCTCACGGAGCAACTGTCTTGTAGGGATTGAGGGGGTCTCTTCTGTCCCGAGGTCACATACCTTCTGTCTCACGACAGGGTCCCTGTGCAGTTAGGAATTAAGTGGCTTTCTCCACAGAGGGGTCTCCGTGGCCTGGAGGAACCCCCCAGAAGGGGCCCTGCTAGGGCCATGACCGCTGTCCCCTCAGCAGGTGCATGGGCCCAGCCCCAACACCAAGCAGGCCACAAAATGGGACACGGTGGCTCCATCTCCCCACCGTGGCATCACCCTAGGCACCAGCCCAGCACCCTGCTGCCTTCCATTGGCTTTGCCCACACCCCGTAACTCCAGGGTAACCCCTTCTGCAGCCGTCATCCCACCAAGGCCTTTCCCTAGGAACCCCACAGCATGCCATCCTTTATGCTTCTCTCCTAAGCTCTGCTGAGCTGGTTTGTGTTCATGGCAATCAAAAGGAGTCTGACAAATAGAAAAATCCACATTCGAATGCATGAATTTTTGAAATTTCAAAGACGAAAGTACAGAAATATATATAACTTTGGAATGTGACCATCCGTCCTAAAAATTGCACCAAGATAAATTATCATAAATGGAAAAATGGATTTTCTAAAAAGATTTGTTTATTTTTATTGGAAGGTCAAATATACAGAGAGGAAGAGAGACAGAGAGGAAGATCTTCCATCTGTTGATTCACTCCCCAAGCAGCTACAACAGCCAGGGCTGAGCTGATCCAGAGCCAGGGGCCTGGGGCTTCTTCCAGGTCTTTCACGTGGGTGCAGGGTCCCAAAGCTTTGGGCCATCCTCCACTGCTTTCCCAGGCCACAAGCAGGGAGCTGGATGGGAAGCAGGGCTGCCAGGATTAGAACTGGCACCCATATGGGATTCTGGTGTGTGCAAAGCAAGGACTTTAACTGCTAGGCTACCGCACTGGGCCCAATGGACTGATTTTTTTTTTTTTTTTTTACAACCTAGAAGTTACTTCTAAGTGACTGGCAACACAGTGCAGCCGATTAAGCTGCTACTTGCAATGCCAGCAGCCCTTATTAGAGTCCCAGTGAGTCCTGGCTGCTTCACTTCCCATCCAGCTCCCTGCCAGTGCACCTGGGAAGCCAGTGGAGGATGGCCCAAGTGTTGAGTCCCTGCCACCCACAGAGGAGACAAGGATGCAGCTCCTGGATCCTGGCTTCAGCTTGGCCCAGCACGGGGCCCATTTGGGGGAGTAAACCAACAAATGGAAGATCCGTGTCTTTTCCTTCTCTCTCTGTTGCTTTGTCTCTCAAGAAACAAAATATCAGATACAGACAACAACGGAAAACCTCTGTATGACTGAAGAAGTTGCATGACAAGTATCAGCCAAAGAAAACGTTGAGGTATGATTGGAAAGGGTTAATATCTCTAATACACAAAAACATCTGAAAACAAGAAAAAAGAAAAACAAGCTAAGAATGTGTGAAAACATGGGACTAGATCATTGATGGGAAAATGCACGCGATGAGAACCCAAGGCGATACTCCGGAGCCTGCCCCGTAGTGTAAGTGCTTAAGCCTTGGCACCAGCGGCCCTCTGGGCGCCAGGTCCTGTCCCAGCGGCTCCACTTCTGACCCAGCTCCCTGCTTCTCGGCTGGAAAAAGCCATGGGAGAAGACCTGAGTGTCTGGGCCCCAGCACCCACGGAGGAGACCCGGGTGAGGCTCCCGTGGCCGCTGAAAGGGGAGCTGCAGATGGAAGACCTCTGTCTTAGAAAATGGTAAGATTTACTCAGAAGGTGGAACACGTGGGCCATGTTCAGAAAGAACGGAATGGGGGAGAGATTACTACCTTCCATCCGTGGGGAGCAAGAAGAGCTGTAAGTCTGAATTTCCAACAAATAAACAAGTCTTTTTGAAAAAGAAGAAGACGTAGTCCAAGACATGAAAGGGAGAACTAAACATTGACTAATCATCTCATCAGACCAGGTGTGACCTTTGGAAAGAACAATTGATATCAATATATAAAGCAAACACGTCCATTGCAATTCTCCTTTGAGAAACCTGCCTACAGGGGCTGGCCTGGTTGTGCAGTGTGTTAAACATTAAAGGGTTGCCCATGATGCTGCCAACCCTGATGGGTACTGATCCAAGCTCCAGCTGTTCTTTTCCTGTCCAGCTCCCTGCGAACGTTCCAGGGAAAGCAGGAGAAGATACCCCGAGTGCGTGGGCACCTGTCACCTATGGGGGAGCCCTAGCTGGGGTTCTGGACTCCCAGCTTTAGCCTGGCACTTGGGGCCAGGGCAGGAGTGGGGCATCGCAGGTGACATCTGCCTCTTTACCCTCCTCCCTGCAGTTCCAGCTTTCAGAGAAATAGATAAATCTTAAAAAAAAAAATCATTGACAAAAATCTTAAAAAGAAAAGAAACGTATGTACATGAAGGTACAAAAGTAGGTGTGACACAGGCAGCGGCCCAACGTGGACCCCAAGTTGCAGCGAAGAGGATTGGTTCGGTAAGGAGCCGCATGAGGCAGATGTCTCGCTGAGGAGTAGAGCTGCATGTGCGATTCAGCACGAGCCTGTGACCAACACAGTTAGCCGCCAACCTCCGCGAGCTGTACGCTCAGTGCACCCTGGGGATCGCCGACATAACCAGCTCACACAGCACAACGCCACGCCGCCAACTCCGACCTTTGGGTCTCACAGAAAGATAACCTGGGACTGACTCACCCTTGGTTCTGTATTTTCCTATTTAAAAGAGGGCCTGGGATGGCATGATGGCCCAACTGGATAATCCTTGCCTTGCATTTGCCAGCATTCCATATGAGTGCTGGTTCTAATCCTGGCTACCCCCTTCACATCCAGCTCCCTGCTTGTGGCCTGGGAAAGCAGTCGAGGACGACCCAAGGCCTTGGGAGCCTGTACCCGTGTGGGAGACCTGGAAGCAGTTCTTGGCTCCTAGCTTTGGATCAGCACAGTTCCAGCCATTGTAGCCGCTTGGGGAGTGAATCATCAGATGGAAGATTTTCCTCTCTGTCTCTCATCCTCTCTGTATATCTGACTTTCTGATAAAAATCAATCTTTAAAATAAATAAATAATTAAAACAATTTTTTTCAAGTTACTGTTTTTTTTTTAAAGAGATTTATTTACTTTTATTGGAAAGTCAGATTTACAGAGAGGAGGAGAGACACAGAGAAAATTCTTCCGTCCACTGATTCACTCCCCAAGTGGCCAGAATAGCGGGAACCAAGCCAATATGAAGCCAGGAGTTCTTCCAGGTCTCCCATGCGGGTGCAGGGTCCCGAGGCTTTGGGCCGTCCTCGACTGCTTTCCCAAGCCACAAGCAGGGAGCTGGATGGGAAGCAGAGCAGTTGGGACATGAGATAGTGACCATATGGGATCCCAGCACGTTCAAGGCAAGGATTCGCCACTTGAGCCATTGTGCTGGACCCTCTTCTGTACTTTTCAACTCCACGAGATTCTTAACAGGAGTAGCACAACATTCTTTGTTTAAAAAAATGATGGAATTTGGGAAGAAAAGAGTCTCTCACTATTATACATAAGTGTATTTTTTAAGAAAGCTGGTGAAGGAAGGTTTTTTTGTTTTTTTGTTTGTTTTTTAAGGATAAAGTTGAAGCCCAGAGTTGGGGCTTCCTCCTTCAGTGGGGTGAGTGCCCCCGACCATGTTACTGAGTACCCTCATGGAGAAAATGGCTGGTACACAGGGCTCTGAAAGAAGCAGGGTGCACCGGCAAGCCACTGACTCAGGGCACAGGAACTCTGCCCGAGTGGGAAACGGCACAGCTCCTCTCCCTGGGCTCCTGAACACCCAGCCCACTGGCCACCAGACGCACGTCCTCCCGGGCCCCAGGGGCCCCAGGGGCCCTGAGCCACCTCCATCTTCACCCCTCCGACCCCGCGTCCTGCCTGTGCCCTCCCTGCCTGGCGGTTCTGGACAACACACTGTCATGGACAGAGAGGCACTGGCAGTCCCCCTGGGGCTCCAGCCGCCCCCGTCTCCTCAGGGCTCTTACCTGGAAGGCTTCGTGCTGGGTTCCTTCAGAAAAGACAAGTACAAGAGGAAGAAGATGAGCATGGCCAAGGCCAGGGGCCACCGGAGTCCCGGGCCCGGGCGCCCGAGCTTCCGCACACAGGACAGCATGCTGGTGCCGGCGAGGACCACGCAGGCAGTTTCTGCATGGCCCGGGGCTCGATGGGCACAGCAGATAGCCCTCAGGTAGTCTGCCCGCCGGGGCGGGCACCTGGCGCTTAGTAACACGCTGCTCTGCCAAGTACCAAATCTATTGGTCTTTGCCAGGGAGACGAGGGCCCGCCTCGGCCGCTTATGAAGGCACACGGGCTGGCGGGGCTTGGAGGAAGAGAAACTCCTTTTGTTCAAACAAGTTCACCTTCTTTTGTTCCACGGGCCAATTTCTGAATGGGGAACTTGATGAGGTATGTGCGCACACATACACACACATACCTTGTTTTACACCACCTCCCGGGGCGGGGCGGGGGGCACCCTTGCTGCCGTGGCTGTGAGAGGACAGGCAGAGGCCACCACCTCCTTAAATGACACAGAGACAGAGAACTGCCTCTGCGGGATCACGGGCTCGTACCTGTGCCCTTGCATTTAGCCCTGCATCGCGGCTCCGCGCCACCTTCTCAGCGGACACCGTGTCCCGTGGGCAGCAGGTGCAAGTGGGGAGGTGCTGAAGTGCCCCTCAGTTTTTCACTTGGGGACCACCCCCTGCTGCCAGCTCAGGAGTCAGAGGCCCTGGGGACTCAGAGGCGACGGAGCCAGAGAGCACCCACCTGCCGCTCAACGGCAGCACCCCGCCTAGCTTGACAGGAATGGGACACACACACACACACACACACACACACACACACACACACACACCTCCATGTCCTTCCCAGGAGAAGCATCTGACATGGAGCTGAGGCAGCTGCAGACACCTGCCCCAGCTCTGAGGGACCCCTGCCATAACCCACGGTCGTTGTGTACACGGCAGCAGGTGCCCCAAGTAGCTGTGCTGGAGAGGGGGCCATTGGGCAGGACAGGATGCGGCTGCCTCTGGGAGCCTGGCTCCCAGCTCACTCCAGGGCACAGCTGCTGCTTTGGCGCCTGCAGGGGTAAAAGCTCAGACTACCGACCCTCCCCTAACAGCAAGCATAAGGCTCTGAGCACAAGACCACACACTCCAGCAGGATGCTGGTGGCAGCAGGGGCTTACCATGCTGTACCCCAACATACATGCACACCTCGGGTTCGAATTTGGACACTAATCCTGGGCGTGGCTGGCAGCCTCCTGGCGCTGCACAGCCTCATCAGCCTCTCTCACTGTGCCTAATCCACTACATGCTCGGAGATTCACTCCACAAGTGCTTTCCAAGTAGGGTCTGGTCAAGTCGTGACTCTTGGCCCTGGCATGCCCTTTAGCTTCGGTGTTACACCCTCAGCCCCAGTGCAGGTGGATCGCTCCATCCCGGGAGCCATCTGCAGTACTGGGCGGACGCTGGCGCGACTTTGAACCGCCGTGAGCTTCCTGTTCTCTTGTGTTTTGGGAAGGCCCCGGGGCTGTACAAACGCTCCAGCTCTCAGCCGGGGCGGGCAGCTCCCGGAACCAACGGCAGAGCCGCAGTGAACAGTCTGTACCTCACACCAGATTGAGGACAGGCCAAACGTGGCAGTGACTGAGGGCAGCTGGCAGGGGGCAGAACCACCCGGAATTCTAGTTTGCTGGTCCCAGAACTCCCAGCCCAGTGTTGCTGTTGCAGCATGAGCCAGGGCAGAACTGGGAACTAAAGAGAAAACGGACCGTTCTGTTGCTGGCAAACATCAGCTCAATTCCTTTGTGTTTTTAAAGATTTCTTTATTTTTATTGGAAAAGCAGATCACATTTATGAAGAGGAGGAAGAGAGGAAGATCTTCCATCTGTTGGTTTACTCTCCGAGTGACCACAATGGCTGGAGCTAAACCAATCTAAAGCCAGGAGCCAGGAGCTTCTTCCAGGTCTCCCACACGGGTACAGGGTCCCAAGGCTTTGGGCCGTCCTCGACTGCTTTCCCAGGCCACAAGCAGGGAGCTGGACTGGAAGTGCAGCAGCTGGGATTAGAACCGGCGCCCATATGGGATCCTGGCACTTGCAATGTGAAGATTTAGCCATTGAACTATTGTGTCAGGCTCACCTCAATTTTTGTGCCAGGAAAAAGAAAATCTAGTTTGTTTCCTTTTTTATTATTAATTTAATTATTTGAGAGACAAAGACACTGAGACAGAGAAAGAATCTCCCATCTGGTTGCTCACTCCCCAGATGCTCACAGCAGCTGAGAGGGGTCAGTCCAGTTCGAAGCCCAGAACTTGGTCTGAGTCTCCCACATGAGGCAGGGAACCCAGGGAGCTGGACACAGAACCCGCAAAACCTTGACCACAGGGGTTATAAGTCATCTAGAGGTGACTTAAAGCATAAGGACAGATTCTGTAGGTTCTACACAAACACTGTTGCCATGTTACAAATTGGAGATGCAAACAGACAGGGCTTCCATTGGCTGGGTCACCCCCAATAGCTCCCAAGGACGGAGGGGCGGAAGCCAGGAGCCAGGGACTCTGTCCGAGACTGCCCCCCTTGGGTGGCAGGGACCCAACCCCTCGGGCCATCACCCACTGCCTCCCAGGGGTGCATCAGCAGGAGCTGGCATTAGTGGCTGTACCCGAGGATGGCAGTGTGGGACTCGAGGGTTCTAATCGCCTTAGCGGTGAAGCGCAAAGCCTGCAGAGTGTACCATCCATGCTGCGACTGAGAATGTGGGTGTCCACAGGGGTGTAGAGCTGAAAACTCAGTGGTGTGAACATGGCTTGGTGCTAACTGCAACACTTTTCGTTTTTGTAACTTCTGCTTTGCCTGCTGGGCTAAGAAACTGTGAGCTGCAGACTGCAGGCCAAATGGCCTGCGTGACCTTTCACACCGAAGGGCCTCAGCTCTCATGAATCAAGGCTCAAGCCTGGCTACCCCACAGGTGGCTCCAAGCCTGGCTACCCCACAGGTGGCTCCAAGCCTGGCTACCCCACAGGTGGCTCCAAGCCTGGCTACCCCACAGGTGGCTCAAGCCTGGCTACCCTACAGGTGGCTCCAAGGCCAGTCTCATCACTTTAATTACTAGACCAGAGAAGAACAGACACGGATCTTCCTTCCCTGTGTGGTCCTCCCTCCCTCTCCTTACAAGCTATTGTCAATTGCCCCTTTGACACTATTGTAAAGTGCCCCTATAAAAACCCTGCCCATGTGCTGTTCAGGGCCACCACCTGGTAAGGGAGTTGGTGCCAGCCGTTCGCTCGGTTGCCTTGTCTCTCATTGTAATAAAGCTCTGTGGTGACTGTCACTGGTGTGTCTAACGTTCTGCTTCAGCGGTCCAGTGGATGCAACGCAGGCTGTAGGTGGAGGTCTTGAACCATTCCTGGTGGGCACCGAGCAATAAACTTTTTCTCCCAGCCTGTGGGGCAGCCAATCCGAAGCCAAGAGCTTCTTCTGGGTCTCCCACCTGGGTGCAGGGTCCCAAGGCTTTGGGCCGTCCTCGACTGCTTTCCCAGGCCACAGGCAGGGAGCTGGATGGGAAGCGGAGCCGCCGGACACAAACCAGTGCTCATATGGGATCCTGGTGCATTCAAGGTAAGCACTTTAGCCACTAGGCTATTGCACCGGGCCAGAACATATTAATTTCTTAAAAAGATTTAAAGATGTACTGATTTATTTGAAAGGCAGAGTTATAGAGAAAGAGGAGAGGCAGAGAGAGCTCTTCCACTTGCTGGTTCACTCCCCAGAGAATTGGCAGGTTGGTAACAAAAGCGTGTGTTGAAGACACTCTGGGCCGGCATGGGAGATCCAATCCAAGCAGCATAGCCTGTGCCCTTGGATGCTGCTAGTGTTACACGTTTGGGAGGTAGGAAGTCCCTCCCTGCAGTGTGTGGGGCTCAGGGCAGGGGCTGTTCTTCCTAGCCAAAAGGGTGACTGTTGTACACACCCCCAGGGGTCAGTACCCCTCCTGGCTGGATGGCTCCCCTTGTTTTCCAGAATTCTCAGTATTTGTCTTTGAAGTAGACTTGACTAGTTAGTCTATTTCTTAGAAGTTTCTCAGAGACTAGTGCTGTGGCACAGCTCATCAAGCTGCAGCCCGAAGCATCGTCATTCCATTTGGGCACCAGTTTGAGTCCCAGCCATTCCATGTCTGATCCAGCTCCCTGGTAATGTGCCTGGGAGAGCAGTGGAAGACGGCCCATTGGACCCCTGCACCAACATGGAAGGCCCAGAGAAGCTCCTGGCCCCCGGCCTCCAGCCCTTGGCCCCCCTGCTTTGGCTTGGCCCAACCCTGGCTGTTGCAGTCATCTGGGGAGTGAATCAGCAGATGAAGATCTCTCTGTGTCTCTGCCTTTAAAAAAATTAAGTTTCTGCAGGCATCAGCATAACATATGAGCACTGGTTTGTGTTTCCGGCTGCTCCACTTCCCATCTAGCTCCCTGCTTGTGGCCTGGGAGAGCAGTGGAGAACGGTCCAAAGCTTTAGGACACTGCACCCCGTGTGGGAGACCTGGAGAAAACTCCTGGCTCCTGGCTTCAGATTGGCTCAGCTCCTGCCATTGTGGGGACTCGGGGAGTGAACCAGCAGACGGAAGATCTTTCTGTCTTTCCTCTCTGTAACTCTGCCTTTCCAATAAAAATCAATGAATCTTTTTAAAAGAAGTTTCTCACAGTGACATGGAGGCAAAAATAATGCCACAAGGTGAAAAGAAAGAAGCCAGAACTCCTGACTCCTGGTCACCTGATGAGGGGGTGGATAATTAAGGGTGCCCCGGGCAAGGACACAGGATCAAGTTGCCTTTTCTGCTATTTCCTCTACACGGGCGGAACGTTCTACCTCCTGGATGGTCATGGGCAGCAGGTGCAGCCGCCTTGGGAGATTGGGTCAGCACGTGGCCGCGGGCAGCATCCCCTGGGCTGCAGCTGCTCCGCCCCAGGCCGGCCACAACTGACTGAATCTCTGAACACAACTGTGGGAATGCTGTTCTCGAAAGACAGGGGTTGGTGCCCTGGTGGAGCTAGCTAACCCTCTGCCCGTGGCGCCAGCAGCCCATCTGGGTGCTGGTTTGAGTCCCAGCTGCTCTACTT